CTTTGGCAACATTTGATGCACACGCCATTCCGAAATCGCAGGAGGGTCGGTGTAATGCACTACCAAAACGCCCGTAACTAAGAAACAAATGCTAATTCGATGATGCCGGCCGGAACACTGATTCACTATGAATGTAGGCCGCACCCGCTAGCGGCAGAAGCTCGTACTACATCCGGTTCGCCCTCTATTGACACAGTCTTGAAACTTTCCGATCGCACTTCGTACTTTGCAGTTTATCACCATCCCAACTTTCGACGCTGTTTTTATAACATTTGCATCTGCAGTAGAGCCGTTCGGTAGTCACAGAGCAAATCGGCCATACTCACACATAATACGCTACGCGATTCGGCGGGCTGTTTTGTAGATAATGTGTTGGGGCTTGGAAAAGGTTGGGAAATAGTAGCTGAAGAAAGCAATATGCGCCTACTGAATTGCCGTGATATAACTGCGTATGTAATCTGATATTGGACAAGGGTATGTTTATCGGCTCCTTGTTACGTGCCAAGCACGTAGGGCAGGTTATGCAACTGCGACACGCAAGATCTTTCTTTTGGTCTGTCGCGTATGTGTGATAACACAGTCGGATGCAGTACATAGTGCATGGAGTACACGCTAATGGATGAAATGTCAGATTTATGTCCAGAGATCTTTTGACATTCCTGGATTTTCGTCAACATCGGATTACGGAAAAACTAAAGTTATAATTAACGTACAAATTTAAAAACTGCGAACATTGTGGGTGTTTGTGAACAAAGAGCTGAGAAGGTTGTTAGGATCTAATAACTAAGGTAACAAACGATCGGAAAATAATTACGTAACAACTGAACGTCGCCACCGGTTGATTAGAAATTATGAATCGTATCCTTGAGATTCTGGCTTTAAATCTCGGCCAGGAGACCAGCTCTCCTTACTAATATTTTTCGTGGCATTCTTAAATTGGGTCACGACCACTTCCTTCCACATCCTTGCCAATTTATTAGTCATTAATCATCCAAAAGCAAGTATGCCTAATATGGCTGCTGTGGGTGAGAAACTGTGGACTAGAATTATGGAGAACTGATCTCTGGATTCGATCCACGAATCTCCTAAAAAGAGACAAGCGCTGTAGTTTAGTTTTGAGGCTCTGATAATGGAACAACTTTAACTACTGCTGCCAAATGTTTACATAAAGATGGACTGAGATAAAACGCAATTAAATGCAGACATGACTAGACTACTGATTGGACGACCTCGGAAGTATAGCTCCACGCATAGTTAATCTTGACATTAGATGGAGGATGTAAAACGATTTATTGATAAGCTATGATCAAAATTCCGATTCAAATTTTAACCGATTACGCAGGTTATATATTCTGTTGACTTAGAACATAGAATTTACACGCCAAGGCACAAAAGTACTTTTCCGTAATTTTGTTTGAGGCTACGACAGTGTTTTTAGCTTAAGTTGACATTCGTGAAAACAGTGACGCAAACATCGAATCACTTAGTTGGGTGCCCTTGTATCCGATTTATACAGCTGTGATAATACATAAAATTAAGTATAATATATCATGCACTAAAAGTATCATGAAATAGACGAGGTCTGACGCATTTCTGAGGCTAAGTTTATTTTCATAATTAACTTATCATTAACATCTTGCCATCTATGAAATTAATGTGCCGTATGACGTATGACTACCTTTATTAATGAGTCAATGTATCTACAATTCTTGATCTAATCAATCATTAATATAAGATCGCCAATGTCGACTCTAAATGGCTGTATTCGGGAGGTCCCGGGCTCAAATCTCGGCCCGTAGACCGGATATCCTGAGGTTTTTTACCGGTCTTCCTTAGTCCCTCCAGGAAAATGTCAGAATAGTAGGGCTACCTTAAATTAGGCCACGACCGTTTCCTTCTCTATTCTTCTCCATTCACTGTTCGATAACTGGTGTAGCATAACCCGTCAAAGATAACGGAAAAAAGCCTCTTTTTGTGTTTTATCAGTAATACAATTAACCTTTGCAAATCGTAAGTAAAAAAGTGAAAATTTCTTTATAATGTAAATTAAATATTAAAATATCTTCACGGCGACTGAAGCCATCTTCCTGCCAAACGCGCCAAAACAGAACCGACCACCTGACTCCATATTCCCGACAAATGCAAACATTGCCACACCCCACCATAGGCGCCACCACTGCCTCGTTTGCATTTCATGTTATCAGAGTCACCACTTTCAGAACGTATTTTCAGTTTTGTTCCACATCCTAAGAACGGCGCACTAGTAAAGCCAAGCGTGATGGACATTGGATATTACATAAGGATTACACCATCCTATCAGTCTTAGCTACTGAAAGCGTCGTTAAATAACCATTGAACTATAAAATAAGCATTAACTGGCAGCAGAAATGAAGACATAAACACGCGAATTAGCAGTCTGAAGCTTTTCCTTATTAGAATCAGTACAGCAAGGTAAAGATTAGCCCACAAGGAATAAAGCTCTCTTTTTTAATGTGCGACGATGTTTATGGCTCAGGCGATGTAGCGTCGTAGCATCGTCCCATAATGAAAGCAGAAAACGAGGTAAAACAAAAGAGAAAGGGGAAGGATGAAAATGCATACAGTTGAGTAACCCTGCAGTGTACATCAATGCATGGATAGTGACTTCGATCATGAATACAGAGTACGTGTTTTAGATATTTTATATTTAGAAGTCTGCCGGGATTACTTTATAAGGAGATTTACTATACTGCAGTAAAACTTACCCTTGAATTTGGATGCTTTAGCCACAGATCCGATGGAAATGGATCGATCGCCCCTGTTGTGTTTCTCTCGCCACAAAACAAAATGTTCGCCCCGGTGACCTAAATTGTATCAACACAGCCCTCGGCCTGCACGTTGCTTTGTTCAGCACTTGTTATACTGTGATGTCTTGCATTCCTCCGAAGGAAGTCGATGCTGAAGGCAGCAACGGCGAAGTCAGCACTCCGGCAGGAGATTGCAATGCACGTGGAGTGAATGTACCCTTGTGCTGTGCCTAACCAGCGCGGCCGTCAGATAAGCAGTGTCTCAATTCCATCGACTTGTCCAGTAGTCTGTGCTGACAAATCACGGCGTGAGCAGGGTGGGAGGGGGAGGGAAACCATTTTTGTATGTTGAGTATATGGGATTCATTACGACGTAAGAGTCTTGGTTGTGTGTGTAAGGAGGGGAAGAAAACAAGTGAGAATGGCGAAGAGTTGGAAAGACAGACGAACTGTGTAAAGAACGTCGTGATACAGAGTCTTCCGTCCACAGGCTATAGTTTCTCAGTTGGTCAAGAGATTCCCTGCTTTTGTGCAACACTAAAGACCATTTCCCATCGTTGGACCATACTCAGTGCGAGAGCAATTTCGTCCACCAAATTAAATTTCATTTTTCGAATATCAGTTTTAATGTTATTAACTCATATAGTCCTACGCCTCTGTAGTGATCTTTTAGCCTCCAGCAAAGTAACGAAAAGCAAGGAAAGTAATGGGTGTGCGCTGTTTTGTCTTAAAATGTATGTGGAATAATTACAACTGGGTGGCAAAGAAGAAGGTGAAAACGGTGAAACGTTTGAAATAGAGAGGGAGAGAAAGAACTAGAAGTTTAATGTTATAATAAGGAGGAGTCTGGCTGTTAGGCTGTCTTAGTGTGCAACTGAAGAAGCATTGGTCCGTTCTTCCTGACTGGTGTCATTTTTGTCTGTCACTCAGCTCAGCAAGGAAAGGGACGGCCACGAAGTTATTCAGGGTTATACCCGTACGTGATTGTTTTCTTTCAATACAATCATAATGCATCTAAGCCGACCCATCCGTTTTTGAAGTGAATACCAAGGGTCCTTTTGGTATAAACTGTCCAGTGTGTCAAACTTTCTTCAAATGCTAGAATGTGTTTTTCTTATCATAAGGGCCTTATTTAAAGTAGAGGCTTTAGGGCTGAAACCCTCTATCCCGAAATGTCTGGAAGAGTATGAAATATATGTTTTACGACAAAATTTAGTTAGAAGAGAAGTACAACAGATGCCTGTTGACGACATTCCGAAACCTTTTCTTATATATTCTGCTTTATCATATCTAAGCCGTAGAACAGAAACATTATTGTAGACAGTCGAATGGTAGGGTGAATTATAAATTGGGAAGAAGGAAATACTCGAGGCATACACTAAGGTTCTACACCAGAATTTCCAAGGCCAGGACTACCCGCAGACAAGACGGTTGGCCTATGAGCCCAGTGACCAAGGAGTTTTGCTGATGAATCAGGTGTTGCAGTGAATGTGGAAAGTGGGCGGAATTATGTTTCGGAACGTTTTACTCGTCTCAAAAATGATATTTCAGGTGAATTAATAGGTTTATTTATTTCATAATGAATGCAGTAGACAAGCCTAAGTGCGATAGAAACAAAGATACAGAAAAACACACAAACCATACAAATTAGTGAAAGTCGTGACGTAACAACGAAAAATAGAGGTCGAAGAAAATACTGGAGGGAAATATTAATAGCCTGTCCTTGTATCGGAGCCAGTGAAAGTGAATCATGAAGGAGGGAGGGCTTCGAGCAGGGCCAAACTGAACGTGTCCTGCTGTTACATAACGCAACGCACTGCCTCTTTGCATACTTCACCCTGCCCTGTTAGGTCCTCCTCCGTTATCGAGTGTCCCGTCAGTCATCAGGAGCAGAATTTAGATTTTTTGCCCTACTATCGCAATATTACTACCACCGTACCAAACATCGCGGTATCAAGATTGAGGCTTCAGGTGCGTTCGAAGTTGCAAAAATTCTTCTTTCTGTCTGTCTGTCCGTGCGTCCGTTTATCACCACGTAACAAATGACAACAGTTGAACGGATGTTTTTTATTTGGGAGTTATACTAGAATTTGTTGACACATTTTATTTTCGTTGTAGATCTAACAACTGTACATGAAGACTTACATAAAGTTGTTTCGCGTGCTGTACCCACTTGAAGTCACAATGGTTTACCCTCGGTCTCCAAACTGTGAGTTTAGGTGTAATTCTAAAAGCGTTCTAACAATTGTGCGTACATTCTTGCTGCTTTTCTAGGGTTGATCCATCGTTCCGTATTCTAAACGAAGACCTCTACGTTTCGGGATTTTGCCCTTCTCCCGTCTTCATGACAGGGATTGATGTCAGCCCCTTCTGTCAGACGCAACAGAATAAGTATTTTAACCCGAAGAAAGGACAAGAGCCAGCTCCCGAAACGCGGTTGTATTCTTTTAGAATTTTTAACGATGGATCAAGTTCAGAAAAGCAGCAATATTGAATGTGGGTAGAGATTTCTGCACGTCTGCCTATAACATACAGCCAGTTCTCGACACTTGGTAGGTCTTCTGTTATGATGTTGTAACCATTTCAGATTTATGTTGAGCTTAGATCGACATTCGCAAAAATTATGTTCCTGTCTGATAACGAGAGTGAAGATATGAGTATGAGAAGAAAGTGGAAGATAGGTCGATTTTTAAAATTGAAAAAATATGGATGGCTAAATAAATGTATTCGGTGTCTGTATAATGACATATATTCACACTAAGGACTCCTTTGTCAGATTCGGTTTGACACTTAGAAAGTCGTGTCACGTGGCATTCCAACAATTTGGAAATACACATAAAATAAACCAGATCTGGTAGAATTATTATAGTTCCCACTTCGGCTACCAGATCGTAGCACCTCAGTGTCTACCTCACGAATTTCCCCCGCCATCATTTTGTTATTACCGCTCGTAGAATATTCAAAAGTACGATTTTGAGGTCGTGTAGAATGGCACAGACTCAATATTAAATTTCATCAAAATCCTTCCAGTGGTTCTCGAGTAGAATCGACTATGCAGATGGACGGACAGACACGACTTGTCCTTTAATGTGTTCTCGCTATGCACTTCGTACAAAGAACCGAAGAACGTGTGTCATGTGATGTCAGTTAGTCAGTTAACGTTAATTATTAACTCTGTGTCAGGGTATTTATCGCTCCTAAGCAGATCAGCTGATAGTATGCTTTGCCTTTTACCTTGTCACCTTCAGTGGGTAAGTGACACCACATAAGGGACAAAAATGCTGCACCAATAGCGGAAGACAGCTATAAAGATATTAATAAAAGAAAGTCACCTGCAAGGACGACGTGAGTCATGCATTCGTTTGCTTACAAACACATTGAATTGCATTAGGGAAGGAGTGAGCCACAGAGGTCGGCCGAGTCTTTTGTGCATTTCTTTCTGATTTAAATGTATGTATGTTAGCTATTGTTGATTTGTTCTTGTATCTTGAAATTCTTGTCTGTTAACAGCAGAATGTATATAGTGTCTAAAGATGTTGAGATTTTTAGTTTATAAAGCTCTCCATGTGTGTCCGTCCGTCTGTCTGTCTGCGCGATTCAACTCGAGAACTGCTGAGTGGATTTGGGTGCAATCTGGTATGAACGTAAGGCAACTGGGATCTGTCCTAAAAGCGTACTTTTTAATTTCCTACATGGATTTACTTGAGGTTTGGTGTAATACACCTACACTATATTTTGGAAAGCCGTTTTGATTTCGGTTTAGTTCATTTCATGTTAAAAGCTACTTTATTTGCTTTATCGTAACTCAGGCCTAATTTGTCATCGATATCTACAGACTTCACCATCTTCTATCGTGATGACGTCTTCACACTCATCGTCTTGTGTCTCATTATCGCCTTCCGACTTGGGTTCAGATTCTGAAAGAAGTTCGATCGTAGAGGCTACAGTAGAATCGTTCTGGTCTTTCGAACGCAGCAACTTTCTCAAAATGAAGGCACAAGCCAAAAGGCATTCTGTCCCAATGAAAAGGAATCCACGAACAGTTGATTCTCGCACTACGAGGGGGGAGTTATATTCGACAAGTGTGACGACTGTAGTTACATTTTGATCAGTTTCGTCCGATAGCAATGTCGATATCATTTCATATTCATTCATGGTTGTCACCGTCACGCTTGCGTCATTTGAGACAATGTAACTGTCGCAAGTTGGGATCTCATGTCCAGTTACTTGAGACTGGGTTTTGGTGCCTTCAGTAGATGTTAACTCAGTGGAAGATGGTAGGCCACTAGTGTCTTCGGATAAAAGTTTTATATCTCTTGGTAGTCTAGTTGAGTTTCGTAAAGATCTTGAACCGCATTTACCTAAGATATGGATACTGTGATTACTACATAATTCGGACATTTCTTCCATTTCACTGTCACAAACCAATGGGTTACCAGAAATGTCAATCTTCATAATTTCCCACAAGCAGTGTTGTTGGCACACAGAGATTGTTTCTAATTTATTGTTGCTAAGGTCCACGATTTTTAGATGGCAATTCTTATGAAATGTGTTACTTAGAAGGTGATGTATTTTATTATGACTTAAGTTTACATACAAAAGAACTCTACTGTAACTGAACGTATCTGCGTGAAGGAACATGATATTGTTCTCTTCTAGGTGAACAGCTTTGAGTTCAGGATTGTGCTGAAACTGTTGACTAGTGAGGAAAGAAATTTCATTTCCATTAGCATAAACTTCCGTCAGATTATTATTGTATTTGAATAAATCTAATGGGAGAATCTTGATTCTGTTGTTGGCGATATTAAGTATCTGAAGATGCCGATTTTTCGTCAACAGTTTTGGATGTACATATATTAAACTGTTTTCACTGAGATAAATTTTCTCGATCTTGAACATATCTGCAAAAGTGTCTGGATGAAGATTCGTTATCATATTGTGTGATATGGAAAGTTGTTTTAATTCCACGAGGCCTCCAAACGTCTTAGAATCCACTTCAGAAATGAAATTGTAGTCTAATATGATATCCGTCAGCGGCTGCATACGGAAAGCACTAAATGTAGTGTTCTTCAGACTAGTGAGGTTATTGTGTGAAGCTATGAGCTTGGTGGTGTTGAAGTCAACACCTTCGTGAGGAATTCTTTGCAGTGCGACCCAGGAACAATTACAGTTGATGCTCTGTCTTGAGATTGCATCGCAACGACACTTCCTGGGACACAAGTTGACTTTGTCGCATAGTGTCAAGAGGAGGACGGTCACGAGCAGAATTTTGATGCCGTGATATATCTGTTGGGAGACAAGACAACGGGTTAACTTTAATACAAATTTGCTACAAGTCTGTAGACCATAATACGTTATTTAGTAACCGGATTACAAGCACGATGGAAATATTTGTTGGCAGGACAAATATTTTAACAAAACAATACACAGTTATCACAAACTTGCTAATAATGCAAACCAGATTATAAGATTTGTTAACATGACAGAAAATTCTTAAAATAAGTTTGCCATCAAAAGATCAGAAGGCGAAACAATTTTATTAGAATTGTTAGTAATACAGTACATTACACACTGTAGTAAATTGACTTTGCCAGACGCGATATTTGTTTCTGGTCTGCAGGGAAGAGAGGGAAACCTTGTCCAAAATATTGAAATAAATATTTGTTTATATTCACAATTAGTTTGTTTGTAAAACAGTTCAGAATAATTCGATCTCGGTACTACTAGGTGCAATGAAATAAATTAACACTTCATAGGGACACCTGTATGAATATGCCAACATTTTGGCCCGCAAGAAATTATTTATTTTAGTTCTTACTATCGTAATCGAGTTACTAGAAATCATTGTGAGGCCCAAAGGATGACACTTTGAGCGAAACTCACCCCCATTCAGACGGATGCAATTGTTCTGTGTTTACAGTTGCGGTCTCCAGTCGCAGTCCCAGAACTGAAAGACAAAAGAAGACGTTTCACACATCGGCGTGTTCACGCGACGCGAAAAGTGAGACGGCTGTGTACGCACGCCATATGTTTCTCAGGCATTGTCTCTGTAACTCCGTATGAGAGTAATGCAGTTGTAGGGCACACAGAAACCTTATGACCGAGCATGCCGATGTACAAGAAAACTTTGCCTCCGTCACTTTGTACCAGACTTCACGGCGCAATACACGACAATGTCATATTCATATTCATACTCGTCGCCGTGAGAACCCGAAATGTCATTTAGTCTCCTTATCAGGACGTTTCAGAAAAGGTGACATTGAAGAATGGACAGGCTGAGGGAAGCCAGTTGCATCGGCTAGAAGTCTTCGTATTGCTTAACTGGAATGAAATCTTTGCTCAAATACACATAGGGCTCGTGTAAGTGGAATGTTTTAGATTTTAGCTGCAGATACGAGCTGGTTGCAGAGAGATTAGAGCTATTGAACGTTGTTCAGTTTAATTCAGAATCATATCTATTCTTGTACCATATCTAAGAGCCTAAAATATTTATAAGTTCACCAATTTTTGTAGGTGCGGAACTTGGTCTCTTACTCTGCTTAGAAAATATTTAGCGTATTTAGAATGTTTTGTGAAAAGAACGAAATGATGAGAATATTTTGACCTGAAAAATAGTAAGTAGCAAGATCATTAGAGATAATTACGTGACGAAGAGCTTTGACTTTATATGTGAGGGTGACTAAATCAGGAAGAATGGGATGAGAAATATTTGTAACATGCCTACAAAATTATAGTCTGAAAACTTACACGGAAGACACCACTTCAATGACGTAGACAAAGATGGGGGAGGATGATATTAAAATGGATATTAGCAAAATAGAGAATGAAATTGAGAAATCGATTGAATCAACGTGGAACGAAGCCCAGTGGTACGCTTTTGCGAAAACGATAATTAACTTTCGTGTTTAATTTAATTTGTGCCAACTGATGAATATTCAACGTTTTGTGCGTGGGTCTGTGTCATGAAGTAATTTACCAACTACTTATTTTAAAACTTAAACGTATCTTAAAACGATAACAATTAGTCCACCTACTTCCGCTGAAATTCCCTTCAGACTATAATTTCGCAAGACTCTCGCATTACTTCTTACTTGGTTTTACATAAAGCGTGAAAAATTCCTTAACAGTACCTTCCACTAATGAAGTCATTGGATGATCTTCCGTTGCAAGCACTCAGAGTGTTTTAGAAGCACTGGCAGTGAAGAGCGTGGCTAAACTTGTCTCATCAGATGTGGAACTTGGAATCTGAAACTTCACCTGACTGATATGCCTAGATAAATAAATACGTCACAGTTCAATATTCACTAGATAAAGCCATCAATCTTTATGGGCGCGTTTTAAACGAAATTTCGCCAAAATGCGCTTATTGTCATCGCCGTTTTTCTGTCTGTCTGTCCTCTTGCATTTAACAGCTGAACAGATGTCAATTAAATTTTGTATTGGCGATTTTTAATAATATGTGTTGATTGACACATTCCAATTTTGGTTGAAATCGGTCGACAGTAACGAACACCTTACATGAAGATGTTCATGCACGCATCTGGGGCGTAACTGGGTCAGTATTTTATAATTCCCTGCATTAAATATTATCAATTGAGAAACATGCGCACTGGCTTTCGAAATTATTTATGTTATCAGATTTTGTCGTCAAGGTATAGTGGAAATGGAGTAGGCCTGATATTCGTAATTGGCTTTATCTAAGTAAACTTAATTGTTAGTGCTAAAAGATGTAGTGATGTAAGGTTTGAGGTTTTCACAGCGGTGAGTATGAAGATTTCTGTCTTCTGGGTTGTTGCGCCGTGCAGTCTGGTCGATGTTTACCAATGTTTCATAGGTCATACTGCCTCCATCATCAGGGCGATTCATCGGCCGAGCTGTCTGTCAGCTTCCAAATATGTACCTTTTAACAGTCATGATTATCTCAATGTATGTAACCATGAAATGAGCAGGTGGGGTTTGTTAGCGTAGTGTAATCAGCAATTTGACAATCTCCGATATAATGTCCTCACACGTCACTGCAAAGTTCGTGTTACGAAGTTCCAGATAAAGTGAACAAGGTGTTTGTCAGCCTGTACTTATCTCACTCGATGAGTCACCTTTATTTCCACACACCTTATCACCAATTTATGTACCAATAACAGTATCGCATCCAAGTCTCGATTGTCATGGTAACGGAGCATGGTTAATTATTAATCTAGACAATTCGTTGGCTTGCATTATATAACAGATGACTGTCAGTCACGACATGTGACGTCTTCCTTTCCTTTTGTAACATGCTTGAATGTACTTTGTATTCAGAGGACAGTCGAATTCTTGGACCGTCTGTTACGATTGAATTTCTGTGCGTTCCTTGCTCCAAGTGTGTAAAATAAATGCGTAATAGGCAGATCAGATGTGTCCAGCCGCCCACGTGTTTGACATTCTAAAGTACCGAACGGATTTGTATTAAATTCGGTATTGAGGACCTGAATTGAAAGTTTCAAGGCGGTTTACGCTGCTAATTCGCATTTATTGCCGTGTAATCTCATAAATCTGCTTACCGATAGATTTGCAGACTATTGTAAAGACCAGAAACAATAATGTGGTAGTCCTCTCTTTCCTTCAACCTGGCCTTCGGTGATATCACTCAGTAATCCATTCCTTCTCATAGAATGTCCCAGCCAGTTGTTAGCTTTCCTTCGTGTAATCGCCTTCAGAATGTTTCTTTGCTCGTTGACTCTCCTCACTACTTCTTCGTTGGTCACTCGATCCGTCCACCTGATCTTCTCTATTCTTCTCCAACACCACATTTCAAAACTCTCCAGGTATTTCTGTTTGTTCTTCCTGAGTGTCCAAGTCTCTGCTCCATACAGCGCGACACTCCATATGTAACACTTCACTAGTTTCTTCTTCATCTCCAAGCCCAACTTGCTAGTGAGAAGTATCCTCTTCTTGACGAAAGCTGCCTTGGCCATGGCTATCCTTGCTTTTACTTCCTTGGTGCATAGGGCGTCCGTCGTGACTATGCTTCCGAAGTACTTGAAATGCTCCACATTCTCCATCTGTTGGTTTCCAATTACAACGTTCAATGGTTCTGCTCTCGGTGCTATCCTCATTACCTTTGATTTTTCAATGTTGATTTCCATTCCATACTCTCTACCTGTTTCCACTAACTTGTCCATCATGTTCTCTTCCTTCGCCAATACTACTAAGTCGTCTGCATACTTTACAGTCTTTATCACTCTTCCTCCAATTTTAAAGTCTCCTGTTCCCTCCAGAGCTTCCTTGGCAAGCCATTCCCCGTACAGGTTAAAAAGAATTGGTGATAAGCAGCATCCCTGTCTTACACCTCTACCTATCTCAACGCTGTTGGTGTCTCCTGAGTCCATAATGAAAATTCCACGTCAGCACAAATAAATATTTAATTAAGTGTTTAAAACGCTGTGTTGTGTTCGTGATGCTGGTGATGAATGACACGGATACTTACCCTGTTGACGCTACAAAACTCATATAACTGATGCCTTCAGCCATTGCTACATATACGACAATGCTTAAATAGTGAAACGTGTTGTGATTTGTGAGATAACGGCCTTACGTTCATATTTCTGGGACTGGAAAATAACAGAAAATGTGTCAAATTATAATTTTGTATTCTGTATCTCTCCTTGAAAAATAAATATGCAAACAGGTACGACCTACATATCTTTCTCTTATAACACTGCTGTTTATTTGCAACAAAACGGAAAAATTGTTGTTTACCGGAATCAGAATAAATCGAAGTTTAATAGCAAATACAAGGCTTTGTAAAGTATACATACTTGTATTATTTGCATACAATTATCTATAGACAGATGTAGGTTAAACAAATATCTAACACACTTACTCACCAATGCCAATTTAAATTATCTCCACGTGACCTACTATAAAGAGGAATATGAGTTGGGAAAGCATAAGACGTTTGTTTTCGAATGTCTTAAGACTTGCTTTTTATTTTTATCTATTCCTGTTACATCCACTATTCTTTTCAATTTAGCGCCGTAAAAATTGAGGTAAGACAAGGTTATGTATCAGTAATCTTATTCTGCAGTGGAGTCCTTCACAAAAATTAATTTTTAAACAACCTTTAGTTCCAAAAACGAAGGAAATATATAGCTATCGGAAAATGCTTTCGGATTTTTTGAAGTAGTAGAAAATAAATTAGCGGCAGTATCATTACATCACCCTCTTATAGATAAGCATACGTTTCCTGCGGGCCGTGTGCTTCTAGCTCGCGAATCAGCAGTACTTTTCTTTAAAAATGGGTTTGTATCATAATTTCTTCCCGAATTTGTAACTATCCGACCTATTTATTTATCTCTCATTTAACGATGTTGTTAGTAGTTCAGATTAGGACAGTATAGTGTGGACTTAAAAGGTTTATTAATTAATAACGAACTGGAACGGGAATGGAAGGGAGCGTTTGTGGTCTGATTTAAAGGATTGTCCGGGCATTGTCTAGAGGGACTGAGGAAAACTAGAAAGTCTGCAGTCGAAATAGATGGCCTCTGGGTAGAAATTTGAAATAGAAACCTCGAGAATATGAAACGGGAAAGCTAACCACTCGGACTTGAAGTTCGGTTCCTCCTTCGTTGCATTAAAACAATCTCTCTGCTCTTAGATTAGTTTTTAGATTTCAGGCTGAGAGTACAGATTATGGATTTCTTTAGTTCCAGTATATAATTAACGATTTTCCAGCCACTTTCTACATCTGTATAAAATTATATTTACCGGCTCCTAGAGAAACTTTGTGTGTTTCGTGTTTGTTTCCGGCTAACAAATTAATATCAGCAACCTGCGAGGAATGTGTTCCCTCTATTCACTTTCAGTCTCTCCTGTTTGTTTTCTGTTCTCCTAGTGGAACATTCCGAAACAAATTCTAAAAATTGAGAAGCAGGCCTACAAGTTGCCACTCTTGTTTTTCGTTAGTGTCGGCCGAATAGATTATTTTTTAACTCGGAATACACATTGACGATCACCAGTCATTTCTTATTCAATTCAGTTCAATTCATTTATTTAAGTGTTTGCCAACAGGAAGAAGCCAATAACAGGCAAACACTGATCATACACACAATAAGAATGAAATAATAATGAAAAATATTTCACAAACAAATTAACAATTAAATATAGGCAAACCCAAAATATAAACAATATTATACACAAAGAAAATAAATTAAGAAATACAAATAAAATAATAGCGTACATAGTTAACTTAATTTTTTGTAGGGCAGTATTCTGACATTCATTAGTTGAGATTTATATTTGCTTATCCCTGAATATTGTTTGTCGTTTGATGTTTTTTACATAACAACCCACACAGAGCATGTCCACGCCCACATCTTCGAAACCCTCGCCTGTTACTTAAGTGCATTCCAAAGAATCCGAGATGGCCCTCTTTTCAGAATATGGTAATGCATTCCCAACAACTCTTCAGTGGTCGTTCACAAGGCCAGTCATACTATAAAGTGTCCCACGTCATCTTGGCCTAATGCTTTTAATAACTTTTCCTGCTCGGACGCCACTGTCGAATACAAATTTTATTACACTGAGATTTAACATTACTTGGAATGTAGTGCATAAAAAACGAATTGTGTACTCCAATTTTAATACAAATATTTTCCAAATGAGTATTTTTCTACTTTTTTACACTTCTGTGACTTGATACTATTGTATTGCACGTACAAATTAATTGTTAATTAAGCTAATGGCAGTAAACATATTTCACTGGGCATATTTGTTCCTTGTATTTCGTCAAATGTTCATCACTTCAACAGTGCCAATCTGATGGCCTTGAGAACCTGATGAGGTGTCATATAGTGCAGGGTCCTGACAAGAAAGGCGACAATTTATGCTTGAATTGTGCAAATTTTAGTATGCCAACTCCAGGATAGCCATGAGGATAGGTCAGTACCTCAGCCAGTAAGTATCCAACGTGACAATGATATGTCGTACCAGCCATTGCTACAAACTCAAAGAGCAAGGCATCTGAATCTTTTTAGCAGTCGATGCACCTCTTGGTCTCAGATGTCTTTTCGCGTCCCCCTTTCTCTCAAACTGCGTGTCATCTTGTATTATAAAAACAAGACATTCATTTCAAACGAATTTTATTTATTCCGTGTTTGACAATGTATGAAATATGTTTCACCTGACAAGGCTTAACATATCCTCTGATAGTTAATGTACACCTGGTTCGGAACCTCTGCCCTAAAGAATAATTATTTATTTACTTATATTGTCATGTTTACTGCATCCATTATCAGAGTGACTCATCTTCACTCTGATGGTTGAAGTAGCAAGCACCTCTGAAAGACCTACCAGACTACATGGCGCAACATTGCAGGAGATCGCCATCTTCGTGGTAGTTGTTATTGACTTATTTATTTAACGGGCATTTCCTTAAGGCTGCTAAGTAATAAATATTATGTTAAACTATCTGTCTTTACTCCGCTCGGGTCAGAGATGAAAATTTAGTACATTGTTTAACCCCTTTAAGCTGAAGCTTGTCTAAACATTACAAATAAGTTTAAATTATGGGTTTATCTGTTTGTTCGATTATAACTCCAAAACGTATGCACCAATTTGCACCAAATTCGCATATTTATTTCTCGATAGCAGCAAGAGATAATAGGAGGGTCAAAACTCCTGAAAAATGTCTTGAGTTTGATTCCCGTTGAGGGAGTTTCCTGCAATTCGGAAAGTGAACACGGTAGAACAACGGAGCTTAGACAAAAATTGTCTGTTTCGAAGAAGAAATTACAGAAACAAAGACCAGATCCCCTCAAAATTGCCCTGGGTTTGATTCCCAGTGAA